AAGTAAGATGTAAATAGACACTAGTTACTAATGAATAGGTACAAGTATCTAAAGTAAGATGTAAATAGTCACTAGTTACTAATGAATAGGTACAAGTATCTAAAGTAAGATGTAAATAGACACTAGTTACTAATGAATAGGTACAAGTATCTAAAGTAAGATGTAAATACTTACTAGTTACTAATGAATAGGTACAAGTATCTAAAGTAAGATGTAAATAGACACTAGTTACTAATGAATAGGTACAAGTATCTAAAGTAAGATGTAAATACTTACTAGTTACTAATGAATAGGTGAAAGTATCTAAAGTAAGATGTAAATACTTACTAGTTACTAATGAATAGGTACAAGTATCTAAAGTAAGATGTAAATAGACACTAGTTACTAATGAATAGGTACAAGTATCTAAAGTAAGATGTAAATAGTCACTAGTTACTAATGAATAGGTACAAGTATCTAAAGTAAGATGTAAATAGACACTAGTTACTAATGAATAGGTACAAGTATCTAAAGTAAGATGTAAATACTTACTAGTTACTAATGAATAGGTACAAGTATCTAAAGTAAGATGTAAATAGTCACTAGTTACTAATGAATAGGTACAAGTATCTAAAGTAAGATGTAAATAGTCACTAGTTACTAATGAATAGGTACAAGTATCTAAAGTAAGATGTAAATAGTCACTAGTTACTAATGAATAGGTACAAGTATCTAAAGTAAGATGTAAATAGTCACTAGTTACTAATGAATAGGTACAAGTATCTAAAGTAAGATGTAAATAGTCACTAGTTACTAATGAATAGGTACAAGTATCTAAAGTAAGATGTAAATAGTCACTAGTTACTAATGAATAGGTACAAGTATCTAAAGTAAGATGTAAATAGTCACTAGTTACTAATGAATAGGTACAAGTATCTAAAGTAAGATGTAAATACTTACTAGTTACTAATGAATAGGTACAAGTATCTAAAGTAAGATGTAAATACTTACTAGTTACTAATGAATAGGTACAAGTATCTAAAGTAAGATGTAAATAGACACTAGTTACTAATGAATAGGTACAAGTATCTAAAGTAAGATGTAAATAGTCACTAGTTACTAATGAATAGGTACAAGTATCTAAAGTAAGATGTAAATAGTCACTAGTTACTAATGAATAGGTACAAGTATCTAAAGTAAGATGTAAATACTTACTAGTTACTAATGAATAGGTACAAGTATCTAAAGTAAGATGTAAATACTTACTAGTTACTAATGAATAGGTACAAGTATCTAAAGTAAGATGTAAATACTTACTAGTTACTAATGAATAGGTACAAGTATCTAAAGTAAGATGTAAATACTTACTAGTTACTAATGAATAGGTACAAGTATCTAAAGTAAGATGTAAATAGACACTAGTTACTAATGAATAGGTACAAGTATCTAAAGTAAGATGTAAATACTTACTAGTTACTAATGAATAGGTACAAGTATCTAAAGTAAGATGTAAATAGACACTAGTTACTAATGAATAGGTACAAGTATCTAAAGTAAGATGTAAATAGTCACTAGTTACTAATGAATAGGTACAAGTATCTAAAGTAAGATGTAAATAGACACTAGTTACTAATGAATAGGTACAAGTATCTAAAGTAAGATGTAAATACTTACTAGTTACTAATGAATAGGTACAAGTATCTAAAGTAAGATGTAAATAGTCACTAGTTACTAATGAATAGGTACAAGTATCTAAAGTAAGATGTAAATAGTCACTAGTTACTAATGAATAGGTACAAGTATCTAAAGTAAGATGTAAATAGTCACTAGTTACTAATGAATAGGTACAAGTATCTAAAGTAAGATGTAAATAGTCACTAGTTACTAATGAATAGGTACAAGTATCTAAAGTAAGATGTAAATACTTACTAGTTACTAATGAATAGGTACAAGTATCTAAAGTAAGATGTAAATACTTACTAGTTACTAATGAATAGGTACAAGTATCTAAAGTAAGATGTAAATAGACACTAGTTACTAATGAATAGGTACAAGTATCTAAAGTAAGATGTAAATACTTACTAGTTACTAATGAATAGGTACAAGTATCTAAAGTAAGATGTAAATAGTCACTAGTTACTAATGAATAGGTACAAGTATCTAAAGTAAGATGTAAATAGTCACTAGTTACTAATGAATAGGTACAAGTATCTAAAGTAAGATGTAAATAGTCACTAGTTACTAATGAATAGGTACAAGTATCTAAAGTAAGATGTAAATACTTACTAGTTACTAATGAATAGGTACAAGTATCTAAAGTAAGATGTAAATACTTACTAGTTACTAATGAATAGGTACAAGTATCTAAGTAAGATGTAAATAGACACTAGTTACTAATGAATAGGTACAAGTATCTAAAGTAAGATGTAAATAGTCACTAGTTACTAATGAATAGGTACAAGTATCTAAAGTAAGATGTAAATAGACACTAGTTACTAATGAATAGGTACAAGTATCTAAAGTAAGATGTAAATACTTACTAGTTACTAATGAATAGGTACAAGTATCTAAAGTAAGATGTAAATAGACACTAGTTACTAATGAATAGGTACAAGTATCTAAAGTAAGATGTAAATACTTACTAGTTACTAATGAATAGGTACAAGTATCTAAAGTAAGATGTAAATAGACACTAGTTACTAATGAATAGGTACAAGTATCTAAAGTAAGATGTAAATAGTCACTAGTTACTAATGAATAGGTACAAGTATCTAAAGTAAGATGTAAATACTTACTAGTTACTAATGAATAGGTACAAGTATCTAAAGTAAGATGTAAATAGTCACTAGTTACTAATGAATAGGTACAAGTATCTAAAGTAAGATGTAAATACTTACTAGTTACTAATGAATAGGTACAAGTATCTAAAGTAAGATGTAAATAGACACTAGTTACTAATGAATAGGTACAAGTATCTAAAGTAAGATGTAAATAGACACTAGTTACTAATGAATAGGTACAAGTATCTAAAGTAAGATGTAAATACTTACTAGTTACTAATGAATAGGTACAAGTATCTAAAGTAAGATGTAAATAGTCACTAGTTACTAATGAATAGGTACAAGTATCTAAAGTAAGATGTAAATAGTCACTAGTTACTAATGAATAGGTACAAGTATCTAAAGTAAGATGTAAATAGTCACTAGTTACTAATGAATAGGTACAAGTATCTAAAGTAAGATGTAAATAGTCACTAGTTACTAATGAATAGGTACAAGTATCTAAAGTAAGATGTAAATACTTACTAGTTACTAATGAATAGGTACAAGTATCTAAAGTAAGATGTAAATAGACACTAGTTACTAATGAATAGGTACAAGTATCTAAAGTAAGATGTAAATACTTACTAGTTACTAATGAATAGGTAAAGTATCTAAAGTAAGATGTAAATAGACACTAGTTACTAATGAATAGGTACAAGTATCTAAAGTAAGATGTAAATACTTACTAGTTACTAATGAATAGGTACAAGTATCTAAAGTAAGATGTAAATAGACACTAGTTACTAATGAATAGGTACAAGTATCTAAAGTAAGATGTAAATAGTCACTAGTTACTAATGAATAGGTACAAGTATCTAAAGTAAGATGTAAATAGACACTAGTTACTAATGAATAGGTACAAGTATCTAAAGTAAGATGTAAATACTTACTAGTTACTAATGAATAGGTACAAGTATCTAAAGTAAGATGTAAATAGTCACTAGTTACTAATGAATAGGTACAAGTATCTAAAGTAAGATGTAAATAGTCACTAGTTACTAATGAATAGGTACAAGTATCTAAAGTAAGATGTAAATACTTACTAGTTACTAATGAATAGGTACAAGTATCTAAAGTAAGATGTAAATAGTCACTAGTTACTAATGAATAGGTACAAGTATCTAAAGTAAGATGTAAATAGTCACTAGTTACTAATGAATAGGTACAAGTATCTAAAGTAAGATGTAAATAGTCACTAGTTACTAATGAATAGGTACAAGTATCTAAAGTAAGATGTAAATAGTCACTAGTTACTAATGAATAGGTACAAGTATCTAAAGTAAGATGTAAATACTTACTAGTTACTAATGAATAGGTACAAGTATCTAAAGTAAGATGTAAATAGTCACTAGTTACTAATGAATAGGTACAAGTATCTAAAGTAAGATGTAAATAGTCACTAGTTACTAATGAATAGGTACAAGTATCTAAAGTAAGATGTAAATAGACACTAGTTACTAATGAATAGGTACAAGTATCTAAAGTAAGATGTAAATAGTCACTAGTTACTAATGAATAGGTACAAGTATCTAAAGTAAGATGTAAATAGTCACTAGTTACTAATGAATAGGTACAAGTATCTAAAGTAAGATGTAAATAGTCACTAGTTACTAATGAATAGGTACAAGTATCTAAAGTAAGATGTAAATAGTCACTAGTTACTAATGAATAGGTACAAGTATCTAAAGTAAGATGTAAATAGTCACTAGTTACTAATGAATAGGTACAAGTATCTAAAGTAAGATGTAAATAGTCACTAGTTACTAATGAATAGGTACAAGTATCTAAAGTAAGATGTAAATAGTCACTAGTTACTAATGAATAGGTACAAGTATCTAAAGTAAGATGTAAATAGTCACTAGTTACTAATGAATAGGTACAAGTATCTAAAGTAAGATGTAAATAGTCACTAGTTACTAATGAATAGGTACAAGTATCTAAAGTAAGATGTAAATAGTCACTAGTAAGTTAACTAATGAATATGTGGCATTTGAACTGCAGAGCCACATAGATCTCAATGGCAAAAATGTGCAATTAGTTATTAGTAATTAAAAAATAGCTACTAGTAACTGAATAAATGGTAAGAAGGCTTTTCGTGTCCGTGTTTAAGGTGTCTGCACATCGGGAACAACTCTTGTGAACACACACTTGGCCGATGATAGTGATTACTGATTTAGTGTCTGAGCTCTTTACACTCACCGCCTCCTTGATGATGCGGGTGATCACCGCGTTGGGAAGGTTCAGATCTTCTGGCCTCTCTGCCATTTCACGCACCGTTCACCGCAAACCCTGCTCGCCGTGTGCCCGCCGCTGACTGTCCGGACAGCCGTTAGCTCCCGGGTAAAGCCGGAGACCGCCGACCGGTGCTAACACGCTTAGCGCCCGCCGACCGCGTTAGCCCGAGCTCCCTAAAGCAAGCAGCTAGCTAACGTCACTAGCTCGTTGCGTTCAGAGTTGATCCTTCGCCGCCGAAGAGTCGTTAACGTGCGTGTTACAGTCCCGCGTTTGAAGGACACGCTGCCGTTAATCAGCTGTGACCGAGCTGATTGATCGATGAGTTCAAAGTTCCGCCCGAAGCCGCTCGCGTGCTGAACGCAGAACCCGATTTGTTTTGGGACCGTTTCCCGCGAACCGTCCAAGCGCGAGACCTCCTACGTCACGTTTCAACTTCGACCGCTGACGTTAGGCGTGACGTGTGTGTATACTGTCACGTGATCAACGCGGAAAATAAAACAAGATGAATAAGTAGGAAAATAGTATATAGTAATATAGTATTACTATATACTATTATATATTAGTAGCCTACTATATATATATATATATATATATAGTTTGCTATAGTATTTGATGCCCTCCCTTCTGGGGTTATTATGCTTTTCTAAGATACTTTTATACCTAATTTGCTAATTGCTACCTCCTCTTGAGCCTGCAGAAACAGTGATAGGAAAAGTTTGTTTTAACTACACGATCTCCAAGAGCAATAAAAATATCCGCACTACAGGATCAACTGCTTGTGCAATCTGGAACTTTTATGATGGAGATATATGCTGGAAGGAAGTGTGGACTCTTTCTCATAAAATATATATTGGTGAATAAAGTCTGGGAAATTTCCTTTAAGATTTTGCATCGCTTCTACCCTGTAAAATCCTTTCTGGTGAAGTAAAAAAAAAAAAAAGATATTGACATTAATATGCCCCTTCTGTGATCTTCATGTAGAAACAATAGCCCATTTATTCTGGCATTGCACCAAAGATGTATGTAGATTTGTGATTGATAATATTTACAGTGATTTTGAACTATTGTATGAAAATGTCATTTTTGGTTTTGTGCATGTTGAATGTAAGCTTAAAGACAAATACATTTTGATTAACCTTATAATAATTCTTGCTAAATTTTATATCCACAAATGTAAATTTACTAATGCCAAACCAACATTTACCTTTCTCAAGAAAGAAATTAAACTATATATAGGAATGATAAACACATCCCAAAACAAGAAAGCTATCAAAACGGTGAATTTATGTTCTTTACACAGCATCTTTGTAGATTTATAACCCCACACTCCTTTCATTTTTTAGTATTCATTTCTTTTTATGTATTCCTTATATTTTCCTTTTGTGTTTTTATTCCCCTGCCAAGTTCTCTCACTCTGTACTCATACTGTATGTTGTATTGAAGCAATAAAGTTTTTGAACTGAAAAACAAAACCTATAAAAAAAACAAGTAGGAAAATAGTATGTAGAAATATATATTACAGTATATTTATCAACTAATCGTCTCTCAGATGTACTTGTATAAACTGTTGGGGAGTCTTATTTATTTTAAAATCATATTATAAGCTCTTCATGTGTTTTGTGAGTAAAAGTCTTACTCTGTATAGTTACTAGTAACTAAAGCTGTTAGATAAATACAGTAAAAAAAATATCTCCCTCTGAAATGTGGTGGAGTACAAAAAGAAGAATATGGCGTGAAAAGAAAATATTCAAGAAAAGTACAAGTACCTCATATTTGTACTGTACTTGTAAATGTAGCCTTCTTGTGGTGGACAGTTACTTTACTCTAGCAGCCTACTGTACTTACAAGTAGGCTACAACAAAGTTGAGGTTTGTTTATCTGTATTTTCTTTTCATGCCAGTTTCTACTTCTACTCCACATCTCAGAGGGAGATATTTACTTTTTACTTCACTACATTTATCTGACAGCTTTAGTTAATTTAGTTACTTTACTCACAAAACATATGAAGAATTGATAAAATATGTTTTGTTGTAAATTAAACTCCCCCACAGTTTATACAAGTGTTAATGATATAATAATAATCTTTATTTATAGAGCACTTTTCAAAACAATGTTACAAAGTCCACAGTATTTTGTGTTATGTTTTAAAGTTGTCGGCTTTGTTGTGTGTATTTTACCTGTATTTTTTACTTGTGTACTGCAGTGTAGACTTACTGTAAGTGTGTGTTTGTGTGTGTGTTTTTAAATTTGCATGTGCTGCTTTTATTATGGTGAACAAAAGACTATTTTCCATTTTTTAAAATGAACATAAGATTCAAAATTTAAAATCTTTTATTAATCCCATAACTGGAACATTCACAATGATACAGCAGTAAAAAACTACAAAAAAAAAAAAACAGTATAAAGATAAATAAACAATAAATGAATATAGTCTAAGTAAAGAGAATAAATAGTAAATTAGTCAATAAAATGCAATAAATAAATTTAAAACTAAGTCTAAGTATCAAGTGATGACACTTATCTCTAATAATCTGGTAGCTTTTCTCATTGATTATTTATTTTTTGTTAAAGATTCATAGTCGTGGCAATAAAAAAAAATCTAATGCTTTCACACCTCAATGTATGGCTGTGAAAAATTATCCAAATGATGCCTGTCAGCTGTGTGTTTCTTCATAGATAATGTTATCAGCCAGTTACATGTTCCTTCATCACCATGAACACACACACTGTAGTTGATTCAGTCCCACATACACGGTCCCGCTGCCGCTAGGTGTCTTTTTTTCAAAAATAAAACTTCAAATTTGTGACCGATTTTTAAATATTTAAGTCTTCGGTAGGAACCAATGGGCTTTAGGCTGAGAGCCACAGACAGGAAGTCAGAAAGTACTGAGAGATTAATTAACTTGTTGTCGTTTCAACATTTAAATTGAATTATTTAGCTGATGCTTCAATCAATAAAGCGTCTTACAATTGCTATTTATGTCAGAGGTCGCACGCCTCTGTAGCAACTCAACTCTGAAGCAAGAATCGAAACCCTGCTCTCCCACGTCAAAGGCATGCGTCTTATCCACTGCACCATCGCCCCACAAGTCCTCCAACCTAAACTACAAAGTTGGTCATTTATCCATGCCTTTATCTCCTGAGAGAAAGTCCTCAGTTTACTTGACTCATCCATCCTCCCCACCACCTGTTCTCACTCCTAGGCCATCACATATGGACGCATTGTCAAGATCCGTCGGCGCCAGTTTGTTACGCACTGCCAAGTCCTTTTTTAATGCATCGTAGTTCAACGCAGTGGGGGAAGCCCTGTAGCGCCGTTTTTGAATGCTAATCTAACAGAAAAGTCAGAGGAAGGAGGTGTTTGGGGTGAACTTTTAACCAGGAGACTGGTGTTCCTTTCCCGTGTGAAACAAAAAATCAACATTATTGAATGTTTATATTTAAGTTGCGTGGGTTACGTAAGCAGTAACTGACAAACGTAACATAGTTATTTTAACCCAAACCATGATCTTTGCATATTCATTGTGGCTAACACGGCACCCTAAACGTCAAAAAACAACGCTAAATGGGTCTTGACCAAGCGTAACAAAGTCAAATACGTATTATTATTATTACACAACACTCTTTGTCACCTGACATGTTGTTGTCAAAATACGAGTAACCTTTGTGATTTATATTCTGTACCCCTACGTTCACTTTCAGGGGACCCCTCTCTATAAATGGGGCCTCTCACCTTCACCTCTTCCCTTTTGTGTTACTTCATAGAAGAGGTAAGCAGCATCAGGAGAAATGTATGTGTTTCAGCTTACTAGCTTAAACTTGTGTAGTATGCTAATACATTCCCGTGTCATTTAACTTGTGTAGGGGCTGAACAATTGACTGGAGGATTGTTTATTTACATCTGTTGTCAGAGAGAGAGAGAATAAACGAAAGATCACCTCCAAAGAAATCCTGGTCTCAACCTATACTTCATAACACAAAGCGTGCAATGCCAGAAACAACCGGTTACACAAGCGTCCATAGCGTGACGAGTTGGGAGTGACAACGCATTGCCTTACGAGGACTTTGTACCACGTCATCTGACTTCTTCTGCCACTTGAGGTTGCCACCAAACTTAAATGAATTACCAAAAAACTTTGGGACACAATAAAATCAGTGACTAATATGAACCCTGCAAAACAACAAATTATCACACACAAAAATCAAAAGAGCTGAAGGACTTTTACCTGCGATTCGATTCCCAAAAATCCCAGCCTTTCTGCCCAAAAGCTGTGCAGAAGAATAGCAATGGCATTGTGCCCTATTGCTCAGTGGAGCTCTGTGGAAGAAATCAACTATAACTCCGCAGAGTTATATAGAGAATAATGACTTTTGTCCCGTAGCTCTAACCTCAATTGTAATGAAATGTTTTGAAAAATTTGTTTGTGTCTATACTCATGAAGGATGTTGAGTCAAAGTTAGATGTGTACCAGTTCAATTTATAAGCAAGAACGCAGTGGTGGCCCAAAGGTTAGAGAAGCGAGCTTGGGACCGGCAGGCTAAAATCTGGCTAACCACCACCAAGGTGCCCTTGAGCAAGGCCCATAACCAATAAACCCATAATCATAAACAGTAGAGCTGCTTAGTGGCTGCGGTTGTGCTGGGCAGCTTCCAGGTGTGAATGTGTAACAGTGTGAATGTGATCAGGGCTTTCCTGCAAAAGAGAGACTTCTTCTCAGTGAAGCACTGATTGCATCTTGCTCTTTATTTCTAAGCACATTGAAAACATAGATGCTTATGCTAGAATCTTGTTTATCGATTTTACTTCAGCCTTTAACGCAGTGCAAACTCACGTGCTTTTAGAGAAGCTTAAAAACATGAATGTTAATACTATCTTGATTAAATGGTTTTATTCTTTTTTAACTGACAGGGCACAGCAAGTGAAGGTCAGCGGGACGCTGTCGGAGATCAAATACTGTATAACACAGGGGTCCCACAGGGTTGTGTTGCATCACCAATACTCTTCACATTGCACACCAATGACTGTAGGAATGTACATTTTAACAACTATATAATGAAATTTTGCACTTTTGCACAAGGATATGGAGACGAAATAGACACATTTGTTAAATGGTATGACACCAACCATCTGATTTTAAACACAGGAGACGTCATGATTGGGCTTCTCCTCCTCCCACTTCCTAGTGTGTTCTCAGTTTTCCATCCCCTGCTGTCTCTGTCAGTCTCGTTTGTCATGTCCTGCCTGTGTGTGTGTGGGCGTGTGCGGTCCAGGCTCATCGCCACCAGCAGCGTCTCGCACCTGTGGCTCATCAAGCAATCAACCCATGCAGACAAATACTCTGGTTCAGCTTCCACTCTTTGCCGGTTTGTCAGTTTATCTCCTGTGGGACAACCGCTCCAGCCAAATCTTAGAATTACAGTCTTGT